CCCCCCCCCTCCTACCCCTGGCCAATTGGCTGTTTACCCCGCAGGGTGAAGCAAGGAATGACTGGGGAAGATGCTCTGGCCAAGTACCGCGAGGTTTTCAGCTATTCCAAGTGAGTCCTCGTTGCCGTATCTCGTAGCCGACATGGAGGCCGAGCCGTCGAAAGCCTTCACCCTCCTCGCGAACAACTCTCCTGCAGGAACCGACTGGCGCGAACTGACCGACGCGAGCTGGTGAGGCAGCTCCTGGATCACCCTCACGCCGACCGGCGGACGCCTGCGAGCACCCCCGGCGCGGGTGGGGTGGGCGACGCGCTCTGCCTCCTGAACCCCTTCGCGTCGATCGGCCTGGGCCGCGAGCTGCAGCCGCCCCCAGCCGTCACGCACCGCGGGGCCCCGCAGCACCAGCGCGCGGCGCCGCCGCAGCAGCGCCCGCCGCCGCCCCCGTCCATCGCGCCCCTGCACGTGACCGCGCTCGTGCTGCCCCCACCCGCGCCCGCGGGGGCTCGGCGGCGCCCCGCCGCCTCCACCACCACCTCCAGGACGACCGCCAGCCCAGCTACCGGTACTGGTCGTAGGCCGTGAGACGCGGGGCGTGGGCGTCCCTGGCGGGCCCCGGGGCCCGGCCCTGCACCCCCGTGTCCTGCTCCTGCTCGTCCAGGTCCGCAGCTGCGCCCGCTGCGCCCGGTGCCCGCACGGGGCCGCCCGCCGGCCCGCCCGTCCTGCTTCCCCGGCAGCGAGCTGCTGAGGCGGCGCCGGTCGCGCTACTGGGTGTCGCCCAGGGAGAGGCGCCACTGCGTGTCCCGGGAGAGCTCCCGCGGCTCGCGCGGTTCCCGCGAGCGGACGGCCTCGCCCCCTCCGCGGCCAGACCGCACCGTACCCTTGGCGCTACTGCCCCCCCTGCGAGCGCCACCCTCGGCGACGGCGCTGCACCGCGCGCAGCACAGGAGCCCATCGGAGCAGACGCTCCCGCACAAGCCGAGACTGGTCTCCCGCGGACTCTGAGCTCAAACAGCTCCCACACAACCTTAAGCACATAGTTTTAAAAGAAAATGCTGCAGTAAAAATACCGAAGAACAGTCAAAATACACTTTTAATGCTTTGATCACAAGGTCTAAGTACATTTCATACAAAAGCTGGAGATAAATACTACAATGGTCCAAGGAAAAGGGCACTTATTGCTTTGAGATTTTTTCTTGTATTAGTAGTTTCACTATTGCTGTTTAAGACTTTGAATAGCAAACAGTCAGACACTCTTAACTAAAAAACCTAAAACCTAAGCAAAGGTCAAAAACTTTCATGATGAAAGATATTGCACTCAAAGAAAAAGTTTTGGATGAAATGAAAGGATGCTAAGGGAATACAACATAACAGAAATGATGAGTTACAATACAATATTTACATACAGATCTCAAAAACATTAAACTACAACATGATTTTTTCCTGGTCTTTAGAATTATGCTGGGAGTACTGATGGCAAGTTCTAGTTAGGCAATTGAAATGGTTAACATTCCACTTCCATTTGTCAACTAGCCACAAAGAAAGAGTGACATATAATGAAGGCAAGGTAAAGTGCATACTCAAATTGATTCAAATAAATAAGTGACAACAGGTATCACACAAGACATTATTTTGGTTGAGTATGAATTACAAGTTATGATATATCAGAGGGATAAAATCATAGTAATATGCATAAATGGAAAAAAAAAAAACTGTTCCAAACTCAAAAATATCGCCAAGTATATAAGAACAGTTACACCTTTTTCTTAGGCTCAAAAGTAGTCAAAAAGTTTAGATATAAAAAATAGTGGAGTAAAAATCTGACAGATCTTAAAATAAGATCTTGAGTCTGTCAGACTAAGGCACAAAGAATAGGGCACTTAATCAATGGAGTCCAAAAGGCTCTAATTATTTGTTCAGATGGTGCAAAATAAATTACTACTACTACTTCAACTTCTACAATTGACGAACAAACTACAAAAATATAAAACATGTATTGTAATTAATTGGTCTCTCTGACTAAATTGGGAATAAAATCCACCACCTGAGATACCCAGAATATTTCAGGAGGTATGACAACCTCTTCCTAGTTGGCTGCAATTCCGGGAGAGCCAAGTTTTGAGCACTATTGGTGGTTGAGATTATAATGGATGTGGAATGATGACACGTGCTGATTTCATTCATTTGACACATGACTATAACTGACTATATGCAGTGGATTCAAAACTGACTCAGAAATAACACTATATAACTATTTCACACAACTCATTTACATCTAAGAAAATGGAATGATAATAATGGAAAAGATGAGGCTTGATGGAGTCTTGAGAAAAAAGGCAAGCCAAACAATACAAGTGAAAATAAAGGAATGCTACAGAATCCAAATAAGGCGCAAAATAAAAAGTCCTATAGCAATCAATCAATTAATCAATCAATAGAATAATACTGGTTCAACATGATTTGGCTTCTACTTCAGTTGGAAGTAATACAATGAATCGTTCCAAATTTTAAGTAGAAAGCACAACATAAAACAATAAAATTAACATATAGCAAGAATGAATTAATCCCAAACAATACAAGTTACAGTATAGTTATTACACATACAACATAACAAGGCAACAAGGTAAGTATCTAAAATAGCATGTTTTAGGTATTGCCATAAAAATGGAAGTCCAATGCTATAACAAAGTGAGGTTCAATCTCAATTTTACAAAATTATTCAAGATAAAATTGTCAAAAATTACAATGACAGAATTTTAAAGCTCATTCCCAATCCCTCAGCAAAACGCTAAAGGCACAAAACGTGTAAAAGAAATTTTCTAAAAAATCACCAATACGGTATTATCCATCACTATCACATAGCAACTAGTCAAACATATTCACAAAATGCACAATGACCAATAACTTTTATATACATATAAATACACATAAACACACTAAAAATATTAGCATGAGGGTAAAAAATACTGGAGATTACAAAGAATTAAAGGTTTACTGCTTGGTACTTGTTAACTCCATTATGCCATCTCTTCTCAATCAATCAAAAGAGGAACGAGTTGTCATATAACATAATGAGGAGCCTAGTAAAAACCACCTCTAAAGAATTTAAAAAAAAATCATTAAAACTGACTTGAATGCAGCTAAATGACATATTACAAACGAAAGTGAAGCAACAGCAGATGGTTGAGAGCAAACAAGGGTAAATTACAACAGGAGCTTATATGCTCTAATTGGTCAGATGTTATTTGGAATGCTTACTCTATAGCAGAGTGAGTCCTATGTTATATAATATACATATGTCTTCCATTCTAACAAATGGATATGAGATTTGTCTCTAAAGCAGTACACCCTCCTCTAAAAGTTAAATGATGAGGAATTATTTGACAGAGTAAAATATACACATGAGCTGTGTACATGACATGACTGCATCTACCAGAAATTACCTTAAAAATTCCTCTAATATACACTAAACAAGGCTTCTGGTTGATCTTTGTGTTGATTGAAGAAATAATATTTCTTTCAATGGAATGTGAGCAAACACACAAAGTCGTAGATGTAAAATAGAAGTAAAGGCACTGGTGATCAATTCAAATCTCTTGAAGCCACTAGACAATCTTTTCATTTAGATTAATACTGTTCAGCAGTTGCTGTTACGTGAGCCACGCATTAGAGGAACAAGAAGTGCTGGAGCACCAGCTTGCCGTAGGAATGGATGCTGAAGTAATTCTGTTGCAGTGGCTCTCTGAGCTGGGTCACGAACCAACATACGCTCAAGGAATCCTTGAAGACGTGGTGATACCTAAGGACCAAGAATTTTCATAGAATAAAAGTTGTCACGAAATAATTGTGTTATGAATAATTTATTAGTGAGGAGCAGACCTTGTGAGTATTTTTCAGCTTTGGAGGGGGCATATCTCTTATTCGCCGCATCGCTTGGAGTGGTGGTTCATTGAAGAATGGAGGTTCTCCATCAACCATTTCAATTACCATAATACCTAACAGATATAGAAGATTAGTTACGAGCTTAAAAAAGGTCCTATAAAAAGGTCTTAAAAATTAAACCCTTGGGTAGTGCAAACACACAGTTACAGTTACTTTACCTAATGACCAAATATCAACTTCAGGGCCATATGGAAGTCGTGATATAAGCTCTGGGGACATCCAGTATGGTGTTCCTACAAGTGATTTTCTCTTTGGTAACTCTTGAGAAACTTGGGCACAGAACCCAAAATCAGACAGCTTCACCTGAAACAACGACCATTGCCATGTTAAATTCCGCATAAAACCATTCACAATCAAATCACCATTTCCCACCACTGCAGAAAAAGGCTTTACATACCCTTCCATCAGCAGCAAGGAGAATAGAATCACTCTTAATGTCTCTGTGGATAACACCTTGAGAGTGTAGATAAGCAAGAGCTTTTAGGCATTGACGACAAACTGTAGCAATCTGAGCTTCATCCATTCTTGCATGAGTTACAATGTCTGTTAGAGCACCACCCTCTAAGAACTCCATGACTACCCAAAGTTCATCATTAACTAAAAAGCTGTCATACATCTCCACAATATTTGGATGGTGGTAGTCTCTCATGATTACAACCTGATGGAAGCAAACAGAAAATAAGGTATTGCTGGAGCGGATCAACATTCCAATTTTTTCTCAAAAGCTTACTGCACACATGATACTTCTGCTACCGCACTTACCTCATTAAACAACAACTCTCGCCTCTGTTGCTTTCGGAGATCCATTTTTTTCACAGCAACCTGTCGACCTGTGTTGCGATCTGCTGCTATACACACAGTTCCTGTAGAGCCCTCTCCAATCTTCATGAGCTGCTCAAGATGGTCGCGTGGATCACCAGGACTAACAACCATTTGCAGGGCAGCGCGGAACTGCTCATGGGTGAGGCGTAATTGTTCATGGTGTTGTTTATTTGCTGCAGCGGCGGCGGCTGCAGCAGCGGCCGCAGCAGCAGCAGATGTTTGTATTCCGGCGTTTGGAGCATTATTGGAGCCAGCGTTTAAGTTACCACTGGAAACTGCATTGTTAGCTCCTGGCTTCACATTCTGGTTTTGATCGGGTGATGGATGGGGCTGCATTCTCTGTGTTTCATTAGACATAATCATCTAGAAAAGGAATAAACCAAAAGTTGAAGGGAAAGGAGTTTGTTGACTTGTAATAAATAACCTCAGGTTTTAAGAGAGAGAGAGAGAGAGAATCGTGGTTTTTGGGCCACCTCAGCTTATAAGCTGCAAGGTATTAGTTACCTTATTGACATTGGCTGGAGCCTGGACATGAAGAGGGCCCATGTTCTGAGAGAGCGGTCTCTGTGGTTGGTTAGGTAGTTGTTGACCAGGATGCATACCACCATGCATGGGATTGACAGGGTTTTGATGCTGATATGAACCAGGATGATGATGAGGTGGTCTTGGAGGAGCCTGCTGGCTGGCATAGTTTGACGGATAGCCACCGTCTTGTATGGGAGCAGCATTGATATTGCCATGTGACATGTGCATCTGTAGACCAAAAGTAATGTTTAAATAAAAAAATAATAAAAAAAAAAATTCATAAGATAAGCAGGCTGGAATAGCAACAAAAACTACAAAAGAAATAGAGAACCAACTACATATACTTCAGCAAACTATATACATTACCCTCAGGTATTGACATTTGCAAACATGCAACTATTCCATGATGCAAAAGATCACAAGAAACCAACTTTTAATCTCAAAACCACAAATTTAACCAACTATTATTTTAACTTAATAATTGGTTTCCTTACCTGAGGAGGGATGTTCCCATTGGTCTGGTGATTTTGTAAGTATGGTGGCATGCCTCGGTAATCCACTTCAGACAATGGTCTCTTGTGTTCTGCAGGGCCCCATTCTGGTGTGGGTCCAGGTTTCAACTAGAAAAAGAATAAATAATTAGACTTTAAGTTACATGGACAGATCTAAATCCCAAAAATGAGATGTCAAATAAATACATACATAGTTCATAGGCCGGTTATCTTGGCGATGAGCAGGCAAAGGATAAGGTTGTTCCATGTGTGGAGGAAGTGGACCTTGGGATCCACTTCCAGGACTCATCATAACTTCATTTTCAGGCACAGCAGGTGGCACATTGGCATTAGTGCGATAGTCTCTCCTTAGTCGTGGAGGGCTTGATGAACGAAGAGAATTTGACCTAGCCACACTAGATGTTTTAGGTAATGCAATCCCATTAGCATTTCCATTTTCTAAGTTCCCTCTTATAACACTTGGTGGACGAGAGTAGTCTCCACCTCTTACAATAGTCTAAAGAGAAAAGAAAAATTTGTTTTAGTTGTCACAAAAGATTTTGATGACATAGTGTGTAGGGAAGAGATACAGACCTTTAGGTCAAGAATTTCAGTTGGTGTGATTTCTGATGGATCAACCAAAGGCAAGGGACGGTTGCTACTTTTCAAAATTTGATTGTTTCCAACTATACTGGCCCATTGCAATGGTAAACCAACATAACGGCCTTCTCGTTTATCAAATCCTGTATGTACCCTATGTTCAAAGTTTGTGGGAGGCGATATTTGAGGCCTCTTCTTTTTCTTATTAAACATAGTGGTAGAAATCTGAAAGAAAGAACACAATTTATTGTGGAGTAGAGAGAGAATGTTGATGCTATAAATCACAAATCTAATTTTGACTGAGTTGAATGACAGAAAGTTCAGTAACTCTAAAGAAAATGACTTGTTGACCAAGAGCTTCAATTACATTGATGACTTACTTTAGGAAATAACTTTAACCCACATAATATCAACAGAGGGGTACCCTTAACCTAAATGTAACGCCCACTTGATCTATTTACAAATATCCATGGCAACAGGGTCTTCTAAGGCTGTCAATTAAAAGATTAACTCTGTCTTTGAATGTAGGGGAAATTAATGGGAGCATATCGATAAAACATGAGATATGCATTCAATTAAATCACACAAATAACCTAATTGAATGAAAGATACGGTCTCCGAAATATGGTGCTCGTTGCAGGGTCATAAATGGGACAGTCCAACAAGTAGGAAAAAGCCTCTTGAAACCTTGATTAGCACACTATGAATTTGTCAATGGTACAAAACGTGTAAACGGCAAAACCCAGGTGCAAATGAAATGGTACGTGGGCTTGGCCCGAAACGATACGCCAGGAAAGCCTATAACCAAGTTTAACAACACTAGACGGGAAACCCTTCAATGTCCTCGAGCCCTGCGCAGCATGTGCGCACCTAGTCGAGTAGCAGACCAACTCACATCGATAACGACTGTCGGCGAGAGAAACGTCAGCGTTTACAAGGGATTGTGAGAAAAACACCGCTACGAAAATTGACACAAAGCCACCATGTTGACTACAGACTCCGGACGCGGACGACGGGACGACGGCGACGGCGATGGCGCGGACGCGCTCTCGCGGCAAATGCTCTAAGTCGAAGAATTCTGTGACGTTGCGCGGAGAGTGGCGGGGCGCGGGCGGGCGGGCTCGGCGCGGTGAGGCGCGGTTCCGCGGGGTCGCGGTGCGGTAGGTGTTCCCCCCATCGGGGGCGTCGCGTCGGGGGGGACAGGGGGGGACGGACATGCACCAGAAGCACCAAACCAATAACGGGAGACAGCGACAGCAGGAGGGCAGGAGGGCCCGAGGCGAGCGGAAAGGGGCGTCGCCGAGGATGCCAGCAATGCCAGCGCGGGTCGTCGAGATGGGTTGGGCCCGGAGCCCTCGGGGAAGGACGGGGAGAGGGAGGGGGGGGGGGCACTCGCCCGCCCCCGATGCGCAGTGCAGAGTTTCTTCCCTCCGCGGGATGGCCGTCGAGGACGAGCCCACAGCCCCGCCCCCCTCTCCGCCACGACGTCCTGTTCTCTGTTTATCGCCTTATCTCGGTCGAGGGTGCATTCGAAGGATGTGCTCCTTGCCCCCGGGTCCCAAAGGGCGTGTCCCTCGGCGTGGCCTGACGCCCCATTCATCGCGCTCACGCCACACATTTGCGCAACAAGACGTCGCGCGATCCCTTTCGACGACAGGATGCAGGACCGCCCCGCCCAACAGGTCGCCAGGAGCGTCTGCTTCGGCGTCATACATCGACACTCCTGGAAATTTGAACGCGGGGCAAAACCACGTGCCAGCAGGGGCGGATCCAGACGAACGTCGGTTGTAAGGGGGTGGGGGCGGGGGCAGCCAGAAAGCCCCTATTTTACGTGGCGATTTGATGACGAATATACGATGACGTCGATTTTAAGACCATTTGGTCCAAAAAGGGACCGCGACCTCTAGACGTCTTATAACAATCGACGAGGGTCAGGGGGGGGGGTGTCTCAGAGGGTAGGCACCGGCACATCATAGGTAAGCCCTACGGGGGGAGGGGGGGGGGGGGTCAGTAGCAACAGCGGTTCCCCTCAGGTCACGACTGAAAAGGTACATGCAGCATAAGGATTTCAACGGCGTCCAATAGCGACCTTAGTCTGGTCGGACTCTAGCCAACATGGGCATGACATGAACCCGACTATGTGTAGGTAGAGTCGTGAATGAGTCGGCAACCCAGCCCAAGCGACATCGTCTCGCCCGCATCGTGTAGTGGATCAAGGTGCATTTCACATAATGACGTGAATGACTTGAAAGAAAACTTGTGTTTTTTCTTAAATAAGAGAAACCACAGATCACGAGATACACCTTTGGACCCACCTTGGACCATGTACGGTGTAGGGAACTCCCTTATGTAACTAGTTAGAGAGGAGACCAGACACTGTACGGAAACTGCCTGCCCTCTTCCACCACCCACCCCTTCCTTCGCCGAGCGCCCGCCGCAGCTGGTGGAAGCCGCCTGCCGCCCCTTCCTCTTCCCCTCGTTCTGTAATCAGTCATCTTTGTCATAGTGAATTCGAGCTTTGAACTTTTGGACTTTGAAAATTGCGATGAGTTGGCGCCACTGCCATCGCGCCCGAACCTGACCCGATCACACCCGAACGAAACGACCCGACCCGATCCGAGACCCGAATGAAGCGCCCGAGGTGCAGTGCGGGTGCGGGGTGTTTTTCCGTCCGGACAGATCTGTTGCTTGTTTGCTTGTTTTGTTCGGCTCTTTCACCAGCCTAACCGGCTCATTTACCCAGTATTCCTCGTCTCGATCAGACCCTCTGGAAATCATGGCTACTTTACAGCAAGTGGTAAGTTTTCTTGTTACTGAAGTGTTTTGCGTTTCTGTAGTGAGAATGGGCTAGTGTGAAATCGGGTTGATGCGACCTTTGCTCTTGAGTGGACTTTGACGTGACAGATTATGCGTTTTCACGCAAATTATTATTATATGAGATTTATGCGTCACAAACGTTATTTGCTTCTTTCCAAATCATACGTGGACAAAATGTATTACGGATATCCGAGACTATCTTTTAATGTACTGTATGTGCAACTCTTTCTCATAGAAGTTTCAGTTAACCTGGTTTTCTCTTTCTCTTATAGATTGCTCGAGCCGTCAGCCGACCCACCTTCAATGCGATCCGTGGTGCAGCTGCGAGCCGAAACTACTCATCTGCGGCTACCGCTGCAAATGGATTTCAATTCGGTTTGTAGAATCAATTCTTTAGTTTATTACAAGCACGGGTGGTAACTTAAAAGTGTTTTATCATGTCATGTATTTCTCAATTCGACTAATTGGTCCCTTAATATTTTGCAGAGCTCAGCGAAACTCAGAAGGAGTACCAAGAGCTGGCTCGCAAGTTTACAAGGGATGAGATCATTCCTGTTGCTGCAGAGCTGGATCGAACTGGAGAGTACCCTTGGGACATTCTGAAGAAAGCTTGGGGGCTTGGCCTTTTGAATAACCACATCCCAGCTGATATTGGTATGTACTGAATTAATTATTTTATTTTTTCCAGCTATTTGTTTCTCTTTAGTTGATAATGGTATCATTAATTCATTCAGGTGGTCTGGAAATGGGAGTTTTTGATGGTTGTTTAATTGCGGAAGAGTTTGCGTATGGTTGCACTGGTGTGAAGACTGCAATTGAAGCCAGTGGTCTTGGGGTAAGTTAATGCCATTATACGTGTCTAGTTATCCAAACTAAGTGTATTCTATATGTTAAATATATTCTATAGGCTCCTTTTTAAATGTGCACTCTGAATTAATGTTCTGTCTGTTTTAGCAAACTCCTGTCCTTGTGGCGGGTAACAAGGAGCAGCAAAAGAAATATCTTGGACGTCTTCTTGAAGAACCTCTAGTAGCGGTCAGTAACATCACTAGTTTCTTTTGTTTAGCATAATCAAGAAGCACTGCCAGTCAATTTATTTCTTTTCTATTTTTTCCATTTTCATCTAACAGGCATATGGTGTGACTGAACCTGGTGCAGGATCTGATGTCAATGGCATCAAGACTCGTGCTGAGAAGAAGGGTGATGAATATGTCATCAATGGTCAAAAAATGTGGATCACCAATGGAGGCGTGGCCAACTGGTAGGTGCCAGAAAATGTACTATGTTTACTTCTTATCTTTTCAGTTCTTACAGTCCATGACTTTGGTTTAGGTACTTTGTTCTTGCCCGAACCAACCCTGACCCTAAGTGCCCAGCTAGCAAGGCTTTCACTGGTTTCATCGTAGATAGGGATACACCCGGCTTGACTCCTGGCAGAAAGGTTCGCACATTTCTTTTATCTGAATAACCTGTTGTATGTACTCTGAGAAATTTTCACTGTTTGATCTGGTTTTTAGGAAAAGAATATGGGTCAGAAATGTTCAGACACCCGTGGCATTACTTTTGAAGATGTGAGAGTGCCAAAAGAAAATGTGCTTATGGGAGAAGGAGCTGGATTTAAAATTGCTATGCTTACATTTGACAAAACCCGACCCCCAGTAAGTTTGATTAACTTATCTACAGATAGATCTTATTAGAGTTTGGAACTTAAATTTTCACCTCTCTCCTGCAGGTTGCTGCTGGTGCGACTGGTTTGGCTCAGAGGTGTTTGGACGAGGCTGCAAAGTATTCTCTGGAGAGGAAAGCATTTGGTACCCAGATTGTCAACCACCAGGCTGTTGCCTTTATGCTTGCTGACATGGCTATTGGAATTGAAACCTCACGTTTGGCATGGATGAGAGCTGCATGGGAGGCAGATCTTGGCACAAGCAAGAGAGTGCCATATTATGCCTCTATTGCTAAAGCTTTGGCAGCGGATGTTGCAAATAAATGTGCTACTGATGCAGTCCAGGTATGTATTATACTTATGTGTACTCTCCTCACCACTCCTACTTTTTATTTCCGGACATTTTGAGGTAATTATTATTTTTGTTCACCCCACAGATCTTTGGAGGAAATGGTTTCAACACTGAGTACCCTGTTGAGAAACTGATGCGTGATGCCAAGATTTTCCAGATTTATGAGGGTACAGCTCAGATTCAGCGACTTATTATCTCAAGGAACCTCATGGCTAGCTATGCCAGCTAAATATTTTAATAACTCCCCATGAGAATGTGATATCAAAGGAAGATGCTTTTTTATAGTGTAGGCCTTGAATATATCTTCTATTGTGCTTTTTGCAGTAAATACATTCAAATCATGTCAATTGCCAACTGACGTTTTTTCATCATGGCCGTGAAGATCAGTATTTTAGTGCTTTTCGTGTTACAGTTTCATGTAATTGTGAATTCAGCGCTATTTTTGTCTCATCAGATGTGTATATAGGTTGAAACGGTCTAAAAAAAATGACATCACCATTTTAATAATGTCCTGTGTATATTTTTATACTTATTTTTGTTGTTTGTAGTATACCTTGCCCATTGTTAATTTTTTTTTTTTAAATGAATTTTCAGCTGTGAGTGTTTTTGTATTAATAAAGTTTAGATTTTACTGAAATTCTCAAATATTCCTCCTTTTCTTTTTTTTAATGCCTCCGTGTAAAGTCTGGACGAGAGTCTAAGGAAAGGAACCACAGGCCAGGACGCATGACGCTCACCTAACCCACCAGACACAACTCCGGCGGGAACCACAGCAGACAACTCGCTCGGCTCGCGAGTACGATGGGTTGCCTAAGCACCCGGGTGCTTGCGCTAGCCGGACACACGCCTCTTCTCATGCCGATCTCTTTCCCTTTGATCTTATCTCGAGTGGAGTTTTCTCCGCCGTGTTTTCATTTTTGCTGCCAAGTTGTCAATTAGAAATCACGTCACCATAAGGATGACCTCCGGAAAAAACACTCTAGTTTTCACTCGGCTTTATCAAACTCTCCAACTAAGTGCGACCAGTAGGGTACATCCCCCATGTGGTTATGCGCTTTCAGGCGGGTTTGCCTATCGCCCCTGGCCACGGCGCCTTAAGGGCCGAACCAGTAGGCAATAGAGAGACTCAGAGGGAGAGAGCCGTCAACTCGAGGTCCTGAGCGCTGCGCTGTGATTGAGTCGGCACTGCGCCCGCTGGTTGGCCGGGCGTAAGTATAGAGCCTCAGCGGCTCTTTAGGCGCAAGTGCCGAATGCACCCCAAAGGGCGGCGATCACCCAGAAAACAGAATTTTTGGCTTGGTTTATTCAAGCCGATTTTTTAAATTCAATTTTTTTTTTCGAAGAGAATTTTTCCTCGATTCAAGAAAATTTGCTTCAATAAACCAAGAATGGCGAAAACAAGCCGAAATCCGCCTTGAATCAAGAATTCAGTTCTCTGGGTGCGACTCAGCCGAATCCTTGTTCGCTCTTTATCGTGGGGTGTCGAGGTCGAGAAGCCCCCTCTCCACCCCGGGCCCGGGGCCGCGGGGTGCGCGGTGATGATGGTAGGGAAAGGGGGGTGGGAGGGGAGGGGAGGGGAGGGCGAAAAGTGTGAATTGGATCCATCCAGCGAATCGCCGGACATAGGCGGGCGAGACCTAGACTGCCCGGACGGGAGCGCTCGCGACGTCGGCAGAAGTCACACGAACGTCGCATGGGCAGCGCCTCTCTTCCCGAGGCAGGAATATCGCGGTAAGCCGCGACAGAAGTCACCCTCGTCCTTCTCGCACGAACGCCGCCGCCGTCTGTCCCAGAGACCCCGCTCCCGTCAGAGGCAGGCTCAGACGCAGGACCGTCGGCTCACAATAAGCCTGTGCGGAGCTAACCTGAACCCCCGGAGAAGCCCAGCTGAATTCAATCGACGGAAAGGAATCAAGGTAGGTCGAGTATGCCCCCTCCCCCTCCCTCAACCCATTGCCCGGCTGTCCCCAACGATATAGAGTCCCTGAGAGATAAGGGGCCTCGATCTGTTTGCGAGCGGAGATCACTGTCTTGCCTTCCCTCCAGGCGGCGATGAGGTGTCGTACCGTGGCGCCCGGAGAGAGAGTTTCCTCGGCTGTATCATGTAGTTTCATTACGTGATTTTATCGTGAGACATGCATAGAAATAGCACCGGGAGCAGGGTTCTAGATCACTGGAGGCAGTTACTCGTGAAGAAAGGAAAGCTAAGGGGGTAGCTTAACTGACCAGAACATACGTGTTGCTGTAAGGAGCAGCCTGGTGGTTAGGCAACGCTACACAGCCTTCCTGGGCGGGTGGCCTATCCTTAGACCAGCAGGCGTCCGGAGTCGAGAGAGAAGACAAGACTGCTTAGAATTCGTGCTTCTTTTCCTCTTTCTTCTGAATAACCGTTATTAAATTCAACCATGATTCAAGTAGCCTTTTCGCTATATTACCCTCGTACTTATACCACGGAGTGGAGTACCGACCGAATCAACCAAATAATTTAAGCTCACCGCTAATTACCCCCTCCAAATGCCTACTTGCATCTTGTTTGTTTTCACCCCCCGCGAGGTGGTGTTGGAGGATGTGCGAAATTCTCGGCGGGCCTCGCGTCCTGTTGGGCTTGTGTGTCGCTGACGCGGTGCGAACCGTGTCGCCCCTCCCCCCGCGCGGCCCCCGCTCTGTCCGGCGGCGTCCCTGCCGTGTGTGTGTTGGGGAGTTCCCCAGATGCACTGCGTAGCACTGCGTCGTCGTCGTCGCACTCCCCGCACCGCCGCCCGGTACTGAAATCGGACTCCGCGGAGGCTTCGCTGCTGATCCTTTGGGCCCGCGCGCTCCGCTCCGCTCCGCGCCGCGCCGCGCCGCCCGACGTGCTTTTTAGTGGCCCCGCTCGCTGTTTAGCGCCCGACCAGCAGAAGTGTGCAAAGCTTGATTAGCACGACCCGGCCGCGGCCAGCAGCGCCACCATCATCGCTCGGCGTATCAAATTAGCGGACGCGGGGGGGTCCCATTTCATCCCGCCCGGGGGGCAGGGTAGGGGGGCAGG